TTTTCTCTCTAAAACACACGGTTGTCCACACATTCACACTAAACAAACACAAATAGTAATGAGCAACTTATAAGAGCCAAGTAAAGCCCAATAGGTAACAATAAATGGGTTATCAACCCTAAAGCCGTCCAAAGTAATGGGTCGGGTCATGAGTAACACTAACACAATTAGGTTACTTTAAATGGCCCGAATAAGTTGTAGGAATGGTTTGTTCGATCGTGATGTTGACATTTCACTGCAATCATCGGTCGAGGCCTATGAAGTATAATCAAATAAACCGGTTTAACATCATCACCCGGATTATTGGGTATCAAAATCCAAAAATCTCTACCTTGATTCCCAATAAATCTGCAAGCAAAAAAAACACAAAGTTCATACTTGCACATAAAGGTAACAAATAAAATTGGTATCACAGACCTTACCTCCTTTTTTGAATCCAAAACACATACCATACATGCTCCATATACTCACCAGGGCTAAGATCAAGAACACCCAAGTAGAAGTAGATAATCACAGTAATCAATCAAAAGCAAATAAACATGCGACAGGGATATCATAAATAGGATAACACATAGATCTTTTTCAAAATATGTTTACACAAAACAACAGATTAACACCAAGTTAATCAAACACGTGGTCAACACATATGCAACAAATGCATAAATAACCTCACGAAAAGATCTCACCACACTTATATATCCAATTAAGTGTTGTTCGTACCTCGAGAACACATATCTCATCTCATCGACACCATGCTCACTAGACTAATCACTCAAAACACATGTCTAATTGGTAAGCCTCTATAAATCCTAAGTTCTCGAAATAATCCTCTATCACCACATCACTTCTCCCAACCTACGTGCAAAATGGGTCTCTACCTAACAGAAGTGATAGAAGTGCCTCTCTCACACTCCACCTGATCAGGGTCTCTTCACAGATAAAGGATTCCAACATTTGATCACATCTCTGCTCGTAATCCAAGTGTTACACTCGATATCCCCAGTACAAAACCACTAATGTACCCCTACGCATCTATACACCACCTTACCAAAAGACATACAACACACTTCTGATGCATCCCAACCTATTATGCATGCAAACAATTGCACCAAGTAATAAGATCACTCCAATTCATGCCAATGCACATATCAAACACGTTGAAATGTAACATATAATCATGCAACGGAATTGAGCAATTACACACATGTAGAAAGGATTACACACGGATGCAAATGCAGTAACTAGGGTAACACTCAATAAGCCTCACTAGGGTCATCACTCGACCCTAATGCCAAATTCGTCTCGCCTCTCAACTTACCATTCTACTTATCCTTGTTCTTCTTAGGACAATCATTAATAAAGTGTCCAATCTTGCCATAACTGTAACACTGTCTATCACTAGACTTGTCCCATCTTTTGTCCTTCTTCTTACCATCTTCATCACTCGAGTCACTACTCGAATCACTACTATCTTAAGCTCTACCCAAACTCATCTGCTTAAAATTCATTCTACTTCTCATCATATGCAACTCACCATTCCTCTATCTTCTTTTTCAGTATTAATCTCCATATCCTTACTCTTAAGGAAATCTATGACAATCTCAGGGGTTAAGTGTCCCTACCATACTTAATAGCATTTTTAATTTCACGATAAGTGTAAGGTATATCATTCAGCAAAGTAATAGCCTTGTAGGTTTCAGACACCTACTCTTTACAGTTAACAATATTTTGAATAAGTTTGTTAAACACATCTAAATTG